TTAAGGGGTATAAAAACTGCAATCTGGAAATGTGAAATGTGACTATAACATGGTTTGAACAGTAATGAATTGCCTGGTAGAGGTTACTTCAGGACAAAGAAATGTAACCTTGAAAATAGAAAAGAAAAAGAAAGTAACAGTTTATGTAAGTTCTATACTGCTCTGAGGGTACTGTTCCATTGTCATGCTTTTGACCTTGGTAACACTCATAGAAGATGCAAGGGGGCAGGCAGCAAGAGCCCAGAATATTAACCATTAGGATAGCAGATTTAAAGCATACTAGGTAGATTCATTTGAAGCCAAAAATTTAATGAAAATGCACAGTGAGTAGGCGGAGGGTTTTAGGATTCAAAGAACTGTGAAACCAGTGATTTCAAACAGAATTTGATTTGTGTTTATCAAACCATACCCTTCCACCCCACACAAAATGAATGGCACAAAATTTAAAAATTAAGGAGAGCTTGAAATACAGTTTCTGCCATGTCACAAGATGCTCTTCTTAGAAGAAAAAAGAGTCAAGAGTCAAATCTCCTTCTCTAGCTTTAAACAGATTTTCGGAAGGGCTAGAAATGTGACAGTGTTCCAACAGGGAAATAAGTATGTTTCTTCTCAGCCACCTGAGGTTCACAAAGTCATTGCTGATGACAAGTGCTCTAGAGATACTGTCTCGATATATAAATTTCTCCTTTTTTGATACCTAACTGTCCTTGACACACAAATCTCCAAATTAGTGGTGGGAGCTCCTGAACAGAGTTATTTTTGCAAGGAAAGCTGAATAGTAATCCTGAGTTCTAAATCCTTTCTAGAATCAATCCATTCTGACACCAGGCAAGATCACAGATACTGCATTCTATACAACTTAGGAGTAAATGGCACCATCTAGTGTTCAGCCACTGTGATACCCTATTTTACCAAAACCATGGTATATCTCAAGGGTACACAGTTTAGTTGACATTTCTGGCTAAATGGCAGCTCAAGCCAAAGGAAACAACTTGTACTAACTCAGTACTGTACGTATTTGTTGGTTTTTACTTTTCTGACCACTGATTCCAGAGCCTTATCCCAAGGAATAGGGAACTTCAAGATCATACAGCATGCAGGACTGGGATTGGGAGAAAGCAATCTAATTCACCTTTGAGTTCATAAAAATAATCCCATGGTTCTTTGAACTGCTCCTGACCCACTCACAAGTCAAAATATCTTTCCTACAAAGCAGTGCAGTAAGTCAACTTTGGAATATCAGAAGGGCCAAAATCTCCTTACGGCAACAACACTGATTTACAAGCCATAACTAGGCTTGTGTCTGGGTAATACCACTTTAAACTGGTATAATAGAAGGTCACATGGTTGAATACAACTCCATGCCAAAACATCTCCCTACAAACAGGAAAAAAAACACTATCCTTCTTTCTGCCAGCTATTTCTCTATGTAAAGAATATTTTATGAGATAAAGTATTCACCATGTCAAACTGCATTTGACAGGAAGAGTCCAGGATCTCCTGCTAATCATGCTTTGCTTGAAACCCCTATAAGAATCCAGCTTATACCATGTCCTTGTCTACTTTGTCCCCTCAAGGTTTACATATGCCATAGCTTAATCCAAGGTAAACCATTGTAGGAAACAAATTTCACACAAGCAACCAATCTCAAGGAGCATTTAAACTTGACTAAGTGGGAAAGTTGTTATTTCCTCACTGACTACACATCCAGTTTTCTTTTTAGTGTAATGTAAATAGAGTTTTCAAAAAGCCTTAGTTTATCTTGCCCAGTTAAATTTACATCTTAAAGCAGATAGATGGCAATATGATTCAGTCATTATTAAATATGTTAGCCAATTAGAATTGTGGGTTCTATTCAGCTGGTATCCTATTGACAGAAGGGTCCTCAATATTTAGTTGTTTTTTCTCCATTCCAGACCATTTGTTCCCCGAGACTATTTTAGAGGGCTGCAAGATTCTCTGGAACAGTAGGGGGTTACCTGGAGGCTTGGAGTGGGAACTAGATTTACTTCCTTATCCATTTTATCAACACAGCCTTATTCTAGGTCAAACACCTTTTTACTAGAATTGGCACATGACATTGCCATTATCTTCCTAAAAGTTTTATACAATATGGCTATGACTATTTTACTGCTTCTCCAAGTGGCAATATATGTTAATTATTACTTTTATATTTGATTTTTAGACATGTGCTATATTTTTTTATTCCCAGAATTCTCCAAGAAATTCCCATGCAGACCTCTGGTATTTCGAGCCAACAAAACCATTTCTACAGATACCTATATTTTGTTTGTATGGACGCAGCTCCAACCTTCCTACATGAGTGTCATGGTTCGTCAAGAGGCACCACCTATAGAGCTTAAAGGACAGTTAGACTATGACATCCAGAAAATACCATAGCAGCTTCCTTTTTAATATATTAACAACCAGAATATTAAGGGCACTGCATCTTCTTCCCAGAATACATTTTTTTAAGCTGGCCAAACTAACTAGGTTTGTTCTCTTTGCAGCCCAGGGGATTCTCAAGAATGTTCTCCAGCACCACAGTTCAAAAGCATCAATTCTTTGGCGGTCAGCCTTCTTTTTGGTCCAACTCTCACTTCCATACATCACTGCTGGACAAACCATAGCTTTGACTATGCGGACCTTTGCCGGCAAGGTGATGTCTCTGCTTTTTAAGAAGCTGTCTAGGTTTCTCATTGCTTTCCTCCCAAGAAGCAGGCGTCTTTTAATTTTGTGACTGCTGTCTCCATCTGCAGTGATTATGGAGCCCATGAAAATAAAATCTGTCACCGCCTCCGTATCTTTCCCTTGTATTTGCCAGGAGGTGATGGGACCAGTGGCCATGATCTTAGTTTTTTTGATGTTGAGCTTCAGACCTTTTTTGCACTCTCCTCTTCCACCCTCATTACAAGGTTCTTTAATTCCTCCTCACTTTCTGCCATCAGAGTGGTATCTGCATAACTGAGGTTGCTGATATTTCTTCCGGCAATCTTAATTCCGGTTTGGGATTCCTCCAGTCCAGCCTTTCGCATGATGTATTCTGCATATAAGTTAAATAAGCAGGGAAACAATATACAGCCTTGTCGTACTCCTTTCCCAATTTTGAACCAGTCAGTTGTTCCATATCCAGTTCTAACTGTTGCTTCCTGTCCCACATATAGATTTCTCAGGAGATAGATAAGGTGATCAGGCACTCCCATTTCTTTACGAACTTGCCAGAGTTTGCTGTGGTCCACACAGTCAAAGGCTTTTGCATAGTCAATGAAGCAGGTGTTTTTCTGGAGCTCTCTGGCTTTCTCCATAATCCAGCACATGTTAGCAATTCTCTAGTTCCTCTGCCGCTTTGAAATCCAGCTTGTACTTCTGGGAGTTCTTGGTCCACATACTGCTGAAGCCTACCTTGTAGGATTTTGAGTATAACCCTGCTAGCGTGGGAAATGAGTGCAACTGTACAGTATTTGAAGCATTTTTGGCACCGCCCTTCTTTGAGACTGGGATGTAGACCAATCTTTTCCAATCCTCTGGCCACTGCTGAGCTTTCCAAACTTGCTGGCATATTAAGTGTAGCATCTTAACAGTGTCATCTTTTAAGATTTTAAATATTTCAACTGGAATGCCATCACTTCCCCTGGCCTTGTTGTTAGCCATGCTTCCTAAGGCCCACTTGACTTCACTCTCCAAGATGTCTGGCTCAAGGTCAGCAACCACACTATCTAGGTTGTCTGGGACATCCAGATCTTTCTGGTATAATTCTTCTGTTTATTCTTGCCACCTCTTCTTGATGTCTTCTGCTTCTGTGAGGTCCCTCCCATTTTGTCCTTTATCATGTCCATCTTTGCACAAAAGGTTCCTTTAATATCTCCAATTTTCTTGAACAGATCTCTGGTTTTTCCCTTTCTATTATTTTCCTCTATATCTTTGCACTGTTCATTTAAGAAGGCCCTCTTGTCTCTCCTTGCTATTCTTTGGAAGTCTGCTTTCAATTTTCTGTAACTTTCCCGATCTCCCTGCATTTTGTCTCCCTTCTCTTCTCTGCTATTTGTAAGGCCTCATTGGACACCCACTTTGCTTTCTTGCATTTCCGTTTCTTTGGGGTGGTTTTTGTTGCTGCCTCCTGTACAATGTTACAAGCCTCCGACCATAGTTCTTCAGGCACCCTGTCCACCAAGTCTAGTTCCTTAAATCTGTTCTCCACTTCCACTGTGTATTCATAAGGGATTTGGTTTAGATTACATCTAACTAGCCCAGTGGTTTTTCCTACTTTCTTCAGTTTACACTTGGGTTTTGCTATAAGAAGCTGCTGATCAGAGCCACAATCAGCTCCAGGTCTTGTTTTTGCTGACTGTATAGAGCTTCTCCATCTTTGGCTGCAGAAAATATAATCAATCTGATTTTGGTATTGCCCATTTGGTGATTCCATGCCAATCACTTATACTTATATACAAAGGATGGAGAAAGTATGCTTACTAAAACACTGTGATGAAAAAAAGTATGGATTCTTAATAGCATGATATTTATATGTCTAAGGGTCATGGTGGCGCTGCGGGTTAAAATGCAGAAGCCTCTGTGTCACAAGGTCAGAAGACCAACAGTTGTAAGATCGTGGTGGCGCTGCGGGTTAGAATGCAGAAGCCTCTGTGTCACAAGGTCAAAGACCAACAGTTGTAAGATCAAATCCACATGACGGAGTGAGCTCCCATCGCTTGTCCCAGTTCCTGCCAACTTAGCAGTTCGAAAACATGTAAAATTGCAAGTAGATAAATAGGTGCCACCACAGTGGGAAGGTAATGGCGTTCTGTGTCTAGTCGCTCTGATGACGTGACCACAGAAACTGTCTATGGACAAACGCTGGCTCTATGGCTTGGAAATGGGGATGAGCACTGCCCCCTAGAGTCAGACACAACTGGACTAAATGTCAAGGGGAACATTTACCTTATATGTCTAAGAGCTGTGAATTATTTTGTCATATTTCAAAATAAAACACCACACACAGCAGATATTGGCTTTGATATTTCATTGAAATAGCTGCACAGGCTTGTCTACTCATAAACAAATACATGATCCAAGGCAAGTATCAACAATGCTCATGTACAACTCCAATTCACTTCAAATAGAACTGTATTGGAATAGTATCAAAATGATTGCACTTTTTAACATTTCAGACACAATGTTACTACTGGCATTGTATTTTTAGTATTTTAAGAAAACTTGGATTATTTGGAATTAAGTTATAATTCCTTTGGTCTATTTAAGAGCAATTTAACCAATTGAAGCAGTACTTCGTCATTAAAACCCTTCACATCATTGTCTTCTATGGCTTCATACAGAGGCTTGCTTTCAGTTCCCCAACAAATATTCTTTCTTGGGTTAGATTTGTCAGCTCCAACAGTTAAAGCCAAGGTATTCAACTGGTAACAAAAGAAGGCGAAATATCTTCCAGAGGTAATCACAGCCTGTGATACAAAGGGCTGCGTCACATCTGCCTCACTCCAAAATCCTGAGAGAAAAGACAGGGAGAAAAGAGGAAGCAGCTGAACAAAATAAGTTGCTTATCAACAAAAAAGCAAAACATTAAAGAAAATGCATAGGGATGCAAATTGGAGTTTGAGAGGGATGCATATCCAAAAATCCTCTGACCAAATATGAAAGCAACAGGATTGTGAAACAGCTTCCAAACTGGTAAAAGTACATACAAGAGATTCTTGATCCTACAAGGGAACACACCAACTCACAGATTAGTACCACTCATTACTCCAGCCCATAAAATGATGTTTCCTCACCGATTTCAGTTTTTATAGTTTAAGATTATAGAAATCTTTCAAGAACAAGATATTAGAGATAGGACTTTTGTGTTAACATGGGGGGGCATGAAAGAGGCTCTTTACTTTTGTTTTCCTGCTCTTTCACTGATTTCTTAAGAGGATTAAGAGGATCTTAAACCCAAATGCTTTGTTTTAACAAAGGAAAGGGATATGAAAGTTTCATGTTTACTCAGTTTTTCCTTTTTCATCTGCCCTTTTTCTTTTACCCCTTGCTTATCAAATAGCCTGTGGAAAAAATTCATCTAGTAACAATGGGAGGGCCACTGTCAGCAGCCAATCAGGACATCCATGACGAAGGGGTGGTTGGGGATTTTTGAGCTGCAAGAGGCCCCAGTGGGGGATGTTCTACTGCTCCTTCTTTATTTCACTCCACTCCACTCATTCCTTCTGGCATGAGAAAACTCCTGGCAATCACAGTCTTGTGCCCTAGTCCCTGCCTGCCTCTGCCTTCTTTATATTCGAGCCTGGCATGTTTTTCTCACCTCCTTGGTATTATTCCCACCCCACATTCTTTGGCTTTTTTGGCTTTATTTCTTTCCTTTGTTGGATTTTTTTTTCTGGCCACTGCCACACTGGATTCAGAGATAAGAAACCAATTGGTGGGGGATATATTCCTGTATTCTAGTCATATTGGGTTGAGTGGGGTGTTGCTGGTATTTTCTGCCTTTATTTGGTTGCTTGATTTTCTTCGGTTTTGGGAGGGAGACCTCTGCATCTGTATTTTATTTTGCATTTCTTTCTCTGTGTAGGGGGGTGAGGGTGGATGCTTTCTCTGTTTTTTTAACAAAAATATTTGGTTAATTCACTCTAAGTCTTTAAAGGCATATATATATTTTGGTGTGTGGGCTTTGGTTGTACTGTTGCTGCCTGCCTCTGGAGTAGAGATTCTCTGTTTCTTTGCCTTTGCTTTTTTTTTCAGATAGTTTTTACAGGTTTTCTAGGACAGACAGAACACGAATCAGGAAAAATTAAACAAAAGAACATGAAACAGCAGGTCACATTCATATTTAATTAAAATGCTGGCACATGAGAGAGATGAAAATTAAACCAAAACCCCTGAAAGAACCTAAAAACAAAAAAGGGAAAAAAGAGACACCACATTTTTGCCACACACATCTCTATTAGATCTGCAAGTTAGCACAATCTCCTAACCTACAGTATTTGCTGAATTGGTTTCAATTAGCACTATAAAGAATTTTATTAAATTTTAACTGCTGACTTACCTTGATACACTGCTTGTGCTCCAGTCCAGGCAAAAAGACTTGCAATAGCATTAGCTCGAAAAGGTACTTCAATCTGATCGCTACGATTCAATGCTATAAGTCTACTCCTTTCCACCTTATCAGGAAGCAGGTGAAACTGGGTATGTCCATAGGTGTATGGATCTCCTAGCTGTGATCCTAAATCCATAAGAGAAAGAATTATTCCAGATTCTTTCCCATAAAGAATATTCAGACGGCCTAGGCAATGTAACATTTTATCCCACTATAGCCTTCTAATTTGTTATAATCTCAAAATTCTAGGCAAACATGCTAGATTAGAAAGCACATTGGCCATAATCCTACTGGTTAGTTATGGCACCCTTAAGTACAATTGCGTAAAGTCTAGTTTTGCAAATATCTGCTAGTCAGTGAGCTGCCATTTATATCTCTTGGTGAGCACTAACACAGACACCTGGCATATGCCAAGGGATACAAGCAGTGACTCACTGACTTGTGGCAGTTCACCATACCTATTTATGCCACAGCACTATTGCCAACATATTTAAACAGTAGGATTCAGGCCACTAATTCAAATATGAGAATGCTCGCACACATAATTCAGAAATACAAATAGTTACTGGTTATTCAAAATATCTTATTATTATTACATACTATTTTAAGCTTTTTATCAATGTGGAATAATTGAAAGTAACTTTTTTCCAAAAAATTAAAAGCTGGCATCCTATTCAAGCAATTTACTTCACGAAGAAAAGGTAACTTAGCATGACAGAAGCTAATAATTAATTAAAGGTCATAAATGCCTCACTTAAATGACCCCAGCCACAATCTCACAATGCATCTAAGAAAGCCACTGTTCTCTTGCTTTGCTGTCTACAATATACAATAAGCAGGTAAAAATTGCTTGCCTGACAAATACGTTTTAAGATTTTTTTTCTCAAATAATAAAAGCACCAAATCCCTTTTATTTTATATTAGAACCAAGTTATTATATCAATGCTGAGTTCAAACAGTTACTTTAAGGATAAGGTGGAGGAGGAAAACCATGCCTTGAATTAATTTGAAAAAAGAAAGACATAAATGCAACAACAAATTCAAAAATAAACAAATACATTAAAACACTTTAGAAGTTGTTTACAAAGTCCTGTAACATACTCTATATCCTGTTTCCCTGAAAATAAGACCTAACTTGAAACTAAGCACTAGTATGATTTTTCAGGATGCTTATAAGCCCTACCCCCAAATAAACCCTAGTTAAGTGAAAGCCCGCTCTCCACCATTGTGCAACAACCAGAAGATGACATGACTGTATTTGAATAAACGTAGATTGTACATGAAAAAAATAAAGCATCCCCTGAAAAGAAGCCCTAATGCAGTGTTTTTTGTGGGTTTTTTGGAGCAAAAACTAATATAAGACCCTATCTTATTTTCGGGGAAACACAGTATTAGTGTACTGACATGACACTCTTACCTATGAATATTTTGTTGTAATACTGTTTTTGGAACAATGGTAGTCTATCAGGTAAAAGCTTAATGGCAGGAATATCTCCAGGATCCACATAGTCCAGAGGCATAAACTTGGAAGGAACAAGTTAGTTCAGATTAAAAACGTCAGTAATAACCACCACCATCACAGATTCCAATCACAATGCAAACAACTTAAAGCTAAATTATGTTAAATGTTGTGATTTATATCTAGACCTAATGGGAGATATGATTTCATTAAGTGTTTATGTAAGACACATATCATTTGCTGATATGGGTCCTGTCCAGACTGGCTGTTTTGGGTGAGGGGTGGATTGGCCTACAAAGGGCCTGATAAAGTACAGAGGAGAGCTGTCCCATTTGGTGCGTTCCTCCTGTCCCCACAGCAAACGACCCCTTGCAGCCCAATCAGCTATCAATTATTCCCTTCTTCTAAGCGAAACAGCTGTTCAATCAAGGTTTATCCAGTTTCTTGCAAGTAAGTTTACCCAATGTATTAGTGAAGGCTTTCACGGCCGGGATCTAATGGTTGTTGTGGGTTTTTCAGTCTCTTTGGCCGTGTTCTCTTCAGAGCACTCTGTCCTCTGAAGATGCCGGCCACAGAGACTGGCAAAACGTTAGGAAGAACAACCTTCAGAACATGGCCAAAGAGCCCGAAAACCCCAGAACAACCATAAGTTACCCAGGTTACTCATGAGTAAGAATACAGCAGCAACAGCAGTCAAGGACAACTGATCTGTGCAAACCAGTCAGAGGGGCTCACAGGCTTCCAGCAGCCTGTCAGCAGCAGCTACTGGTGCTACCACTAAGGAGATCTCTGCAGCTGCTGTGGTAGAGGCAATGCCAGCCTTCAAGGCACTGCACAGCCACTATGCTACAGCAAGTCCAGTCTCAGCCTCCTGGGCTGCTCTTCCCTGCTTGCCCCCTGAGCCTACAGGGCTCCAAATCTTGCTAAATGGAATGCATGTCCTAGGCAAGGGTCAGAAAGGTTTGGCATAACTCTTAAATTGGAAGGAAGAATCGTTCTAAGTACGAACACAAGTGGACAGGATCATTTATTCCATGCTAAACAATGCCATCAGGATTCCATATACCACAATTACAGTATATACCAATGTGGACAGGCTCATAGAAGCCCTATTCAGGCACTAAGTCCGAAAATGGAAAGGCTAAGTGGGTACAAGCCCCATCAGACAAGTTCCCTCATGTGTTCCACATAAAGATCTGTTAGGAATCTTGTAAGTATGTCTGGATGAACACATTGACAAAATTCTTATGAGCAGGAATTCTGGCAAGACAGGGTTCCTGATCACCGTAGTCATGTAAGCACACTTGGACATACAGGCGTATGAACTTCTCTGCAGACTGAGTGATTCCTGGAGAGAGGAGAGGTTGAAAAATGGGGCTTATGTGCACACCATTGTCCTCACAACAGATTTAGCCCTCCCCACATTTGCAGGCTTAAACCTCAGAATATGGATCAGACTGCTTTGTTTATCAAGAGAGAAAGAACGCAAGTTGTGCATGCCTTATTGTAACATTTAAGGAATGGCATAAAAGGGAAAGCTGAGCAACACTTTTATTTTATTTGTTTTATTTATAGATTGCATTTCTCCTGATAACATGGAGAGCTTCTCTAATAATATACCGTAACTCTGCTGCAAGCATGATTCAGTTTCTCATTTCTTCTGCTACCCATTATTAACTTTCTCAGGACAGATCTAAATAGAGGACCAAATACTTTCCCATTCTAATCATGAAACATTTTGGTGGCAACAGGAGCCTGATGTCCATTTCTGCTCACTACCATTCACAAAATTACATCATGCAGGTGAAAATTCCAGAAGCTGATTCCTTTTTTCCTTCAGTTAACCACTTCTCAACCAAACAGAAAGCAACTGTCAAGGCTGTTTTTCAACAAGTGTGAATGGTTAGTGAGCAGAAGAGACTATTTTGTAGAGTTTAGACAATCTTGGCTACTGCCACAGATTTTGTCAACATTCAGGCTGCTCTTTGATATGTAAAGTTTGGATTCCTTTTTCCTGTTGGCAATAGGGGTAGAATATTGTGTAGCAATATTGGGCCATTTCCTGGCTTTTTGAATCATAGGTACAGAAGCAAAATATCTCACATTCATAAATAAACCAAAGGGTTTTTTTTAAAGAATTTAATTTCCTGGCTTTGTAAAAGAATTTAAATATACATATGTTACACACAAATTCAATCAGAAATTTCCCTCCTATAGAATTACCCAGTGGTATTACCCCAGGAGATGAGCATATGATCTGAACTACAGTTACTGGGAGAAGACAGAAGTGAGAACACCTTGAAATGGTGAAGCAAAAGTGTGAGTAGGTACAACACAATGGAGAAACATACACACTCTTTAACCTCTTGGTTAAACTAATATTGCCATGCCTGCTCACAAAATGCAGACTGGGAAACTATGTTCCGATTTCCTGAATATTCTTTTTTTTTTTTAAATATTTTAAAATATTTTCACAGGAAGAAATTAAGAAAGTTTGGTCAGGAAGGACTTAACTACTTTTTTTCACAGTGAATGCCCTGGTGGGGACAAAAGTTGACTTCTTTTAGAATATTTTCAGTTCATAAGAAAGTGGGTAATTTCAAAACCACTAATTTGTACCACTCTATTAAAGCCATGAATAGCTGAATTCCTGTGGAAAAAAAGTAACTCAACTAAGTTTTTTTCCAGGTATGCAAATTTGGCCTCATTAATGTTTAAAATCAGTCAAGTTCCTAGTCACTTGGTTCTGCACAGGGGTAAAACAGTGCTATTTTTAAAGAAAGCATAACTTGAAAATACTTTGCCCAGACGTCCCAATTTGGCACAGAGCAAGAGCAGACTCTGCTACATATAATTTTTTGTTTGGGGCACCCCTATTTTTTGAGTTGGCTTATGGAAAGTTGAATGCTGGTTCCACACAATATCTACTGTTGCATGCTTCTACAGCAGCAATAATGGAATTCTCCATGGGTTCCAAAATGGATATAAATAAATATATTTACATGACCTAGTTCTGGTTTTTCTCCATTCAAAAAGACATACTCGTTGTGACTTAAACTGGGACATAGGGGCTAAATTTGCCCAAATCTGTGCCTTAGTTTTAATTAAAGGCAATATTGTACCAGAGTGATCAGATGTCCATGTGATCTCAATAATAATCTATTTTTTTCACAAAGAGTACTTTATTCCAGTCCCATTTTCTGCCTAGTTCCCTTAAACTTGAAATATCAATAGGTTTGTAAGTTTTGTTTTAATGAAAATCATATTTCATGAAGCTGTCAATAATGGCAATTCTATTTATCAATTTAGCAATATGAACTTCATGTGTTCATGATACTAAGGCTGCAAACTTGGGGAGTACCCTGGGGCTTCAGCATGGAAACCTAATCTCATAGTTTATTGTGAGGATGCAGATACCCACAGGGTGCGTTTTGTGAGTATATCAGAAAAACTTGTAGATGCACAGAAGAGGATGTAATTCATTTGAATTCCAAATGAGAATGCAGCAGGACTTTCATTTGTCTGTCTTTGAATCTCTCTCCAAATCACCTAATCGCTGAGCACATACCTCTGGAAGTTGCTTTCTTATACGAATCTGACAGTGGGGTTTGTCGTCAATCTGAAATCTCAGTGGGTCTATCCTGCCCGTCCGATGTCCACGAAGAACCACTGTTTCACCACGCAACCAATAGAAATTTACCTCTGGTTTGTAGTCTGAAACAAAAAGAATGCTTTTAGACCCACTTGTAGTCAAAAATAAATTACTAAATATACTTGGCCCGCTGGCAAAATTTTCATTTCATAAAATGGAAGCCATAATTACTCAGAACAGTGACTCCATATAACTTCTCCCAGCAGCTTCATATAGATACGCCCCCTATCTGCCTTCCTCAGAAGATCATCTTGCTGGGCAACTAATGCTGTTTTGTTTCCATGGTGCAATCTGAACCCCGACTGAAATGGATCTAGGCTATCCATTCCATCCAAGAATGCCTGCAACTAGTCAGCCACCATCCTCTTGATCAACTTACACAAGAATGAAATATTGGCAATGGTCCAATAGTTATTAAAACAATATGTTACTGAATTTGGTTTCTTTGGAATGGGCATTATAATGGTTTCCTTTAAACAGAAAGGTACACGGCGCTCTTGTATTAACGACTGTACATAACCACACCTGGATGATGGAGAATCTTCACAGATAACCCATTCCATGGTCCTTTGCTAAATTGAAGAACCACAATGAGAAAGAGGTGGTGGCTTTGCAACATGAAATGCCTCATCCACACCCTGCTCCAACTTATTCTTGACTAATTGGTGCAGTTACGCTTTTTGCTTTACAGTGGACATCTCCTTCAGATCTTGGTACCAAAAAGGAGTGAAGGTCCCAACAAATACTTTCTACCTTACAACTAAAACAGACTTTTAGAGGGCTGGTTGCAGTCATCTGCATTTGGATATACTGTAAAAACTTTTTCTGTGGGAAAGATAAAGCCATGAACTACATGGAAAGGTTTCACCTGCTGGTTAGAAGCAGCCTCAATTAGCTAGTTATTGTGGCTTTTTAAGTGGTCTTGAGATACCTTCTAAATGCTTCCCTAATAGCCACCAAATCGAACTCCATAGGTTTCCTCCACTCTAGTCTTCTTCGTAAGTGTCTCATCACTGTCAACTCCTCCATGAACCACAGAGAAGGCACAGCTCACCAATGAAGAGGGTGCTTAGGGCGCAATCATGACAACAGCTCAGGTCACCCGTTAACACCAGTGAATAAGAACACACATGAGCAACAACCATCTCAGATGGAAGCTCCCTTAGGACACTTTGGAAATCAACAGGATCCATCAGTCTTTGAGGGTGGACCATCATAATAGGCCTCTCCTATATTATACACAGCTGTAGAGTCCTCTGATAATCAGAGGAACGTATGCCACTTGAAAAGCAGAGCCTTCTGTGCCTAAGACACGACTCATTTGCAGACGTGTGTGCTGTATCCATAACACTTCTAAGGGCAATTCTCTCTCAGCCTCCGCCTCACCAATAATATGAGAATAACACTGATCTGCTGCAAATGAAGTACTGTTACCTCACAGGTAAAGAGGCCACCAATACGTGTTACAGAGAAACTATTTTCATTTTGGTCCCTCAGCAGCTGCTTTTGCTTATGCCCTTCAAGGACGTGCTGCAAACCGGGCAATCCGTCCAGCACTGCTCAGAAAGCAACGCCTATTCTCCTCAGTAAGCGTGCCTCAACGGTCCGCCTGTCAGGATGCAATCCTCTCCCTCAAAGCATCGTCTCTCTGCCACAGCCCACCCCTGCGCGGCGACCAGGAGACGCACCCAAGGTGGAGGAAGCCTCGAGGGCCGGGTTGAGGCCCGCCAAGTGGGCCGTCAGGGCTGGCACCAGGTGGGTGAGGGCGGCTCCCGGGCCCTGCTCGTTGGCACGGAAGAGACGGGGCCGCCGCTTGCGCTGGTAGTAAAACTCCTGGAGCAGCACGTCGCAGGTCAAGGAGCGGAGCTCGGCCAGGTCCAAGCCTCCGCCTCCCACTTCCCCGCCTTTCTCCTCCTCCGTCAACGCCACCGGGTCGGGCAGCCCAGGCACGAAGGCCGTCTTGGTGTAATCCTGATACCAGCGGTCCGCATTGATCGCCCACGACTGCGGGTGGACGATGTATTTGGGCCGCTGCAGACACGTCAGGAAGCGCAGCTTCTCCTCCACGGAGGGCGCGTCGTGAATCTTCCGCAGGAACTCCTGGTAGCGCCGCCGCGCCGCCGCCTTACTTTTAGCGGTCAGAGAAGGCACCACCGGCGGATATAGGGACTCAGAGGAGGAAGAAGAAGCGGCGGCGGCGGCGGCGGTGGAGTCAGAAACGGGGTCGTTAGAAGCCGGCGCCGTCAGAGTCTCGGTGTGCAAACCCCGGCCCAGGCGAGCGTCTCTCAGGAACCGCAGGGCTCTGGGCGCAGCCATCTTCCCCGCTTGGAACGGGAAAGGGGTGGGACAAAAGTCACCTTCCCGCGAGCGGAGTGACGCGATTGGATGCGAGCCGCCCCACGTGACTTGGCAGGAAACCCGATCGCGCCGAAGCGGTCATAGAATAAAGGTCGGGCTGCAGTCGCCGCTGCTCTTGGAAGCGGAAGGGCTGTTGCGCATGCTCCTTTGCGGCTTTTTTTTTTTGTATTATACCTCGCGTGTTGCTAGAATGGGAAGAGGAGGAATGGCACTATGTGGACTGTAATGCACGCTGGACGGAGGAGCATATCCTTCCAATGTGTGCGTCCATCCTTTGTTTCTTCATGTACTCAATGTTCTGGGCAAAACGTTCAAACAGAAAGAATAATAATTCAGTTGCAAATATATGCACAGTACGCTTTTTAAAAGAGACTCGCTATTTTCTCCATAAGTGAAGTGAAAGGGTGAGATCTATTCTCGACTTCTCAGCCTGCATGGACAGTGGTGATCGATTCTGGGAGTTGTGCTCTGAAGATCCAAGATTTCCCCATTTCTGATTTATGGGAAACAGTGCTAGAATTCAATATGTAACGGACTGCAGGCATAGTTTCAACCTGTAAATCCAAATCCAGGCATGTTTACATGGAAGAGTCTATTCTGCGGGGATAGTTCAGTGGTTTAGGCATCTGGTTGGGAGTTTTATTCCCAGCTGTTCCTCCCTGACAGGGGTTGTGTTCGATGATCACAAGGGTCACTTCTAGCTCTGCAGATCTAAGATGATGAGAGTTGCTATAAATGAGTCAGATGAAAATTAAGAACACAATATGCACATTGAAATACTAATGCTGCAATTCTGTGCATTTTTAGTGGGGAGTCCTAATTGGACAAAACAAGGTTGATTACTCAATGAAGTACTGCATTTGTTTTAATTAGAATCTATATTTTTACACTAGTACTGTACTTCCAGCAGTACATGGGATTCTGAAGAGGTCTGCCATCCAAGGACTGAAAGAAGATTATGCCCACTTAGCATAGAAAGTTGCTAGCTTCATGTCTTCTCATCTCAGATTTTTGAGATGCAGAGTGCTATAAGACTTTATTTTTGTCAACACAGTGGAGTCACTGAAAACCAGTTGTTGGTAACTGTGGCGTTTACCTCATGGCCCCTGCTTGTTTCACCAAACACAGGTCTCACATGAGTATCCCACCATGCCCTTTAACATGCTGCCAGCAGGTCTCACATGAGTATCCCACCACGCCCTTTAACATGCTGCCACCAGTTGATCTCTTTATCAACCTATATTTCCTATGAAAGACTGAGGTCCATTCAGTACTTAACTTTTAAACAGAAACAGGTTTATTGATTACAAGTTGTTTTAGGAATAGTTGTTAAGCATATACTTAAAGTTACACAAAGCTTCAGTATTTTATGTTAACCTCTTCTATCTTAATTAATACAAGTGACACTCTGAATAATCACTCCTTAAACACTCTCTCTGCCTCAAACTCCAAACTCTCTCTCTCTCTCTCTCTCTCTCTCTCTCTCTCTCTGACTGAACTGACTAGACTTTGACCTCCCTTCTAGTTTATCAGGCTCCACCTCCCAACAGCTCCCACTGGTACATGCCAATACAGTGGTGCCTCAATTTACGACCATAATCCGTTCCAGAAGATGGATGTAACTCGAAAGGGTCGTAAGTCGAAGCACTATTTCCCATTGAAATGCATTGGAACGTGATTAATCCGTTCCAGCATTTTTTTAAAAAAGCCCCCCAGAAGGTGCTGGGGCTTTTAAAAAAAACAACCAAAAATAAACAGAGCAAGCCCCGAAGGCTGCAAAAAAATAATAATAATAAACAACGGAGCAAGCCCCACGCTGGTAATAATAACAATAAACAACGGAGCAAGCCCCACGCTGGGGCTGCAAAAAAAATCACCAAAAACCAAAACAACAACACAGCACAGAAACATAACCCACCAGCCCAAACCCAACCTGCAAAACCCACCCAGAACAGTTTTTAAAAAGCAGAAAGCAGCACCTTACCAGGCAGTTCGAAGCCTCTTCTGATCACACACCCTTTAACTGCTGGGGCAAAAGAGCTACAAAGAAGCAGCCTCTTCACCTACCAACGGTTAGCAATTTGAATTTCCCGCCTTTTTCCTTGCCTTTTTCTGTTCGTAACTGGAAGCTCCAGCTGCAAGTCGAAACAAAATTTTGCAGCCGGAGCCGGTCGTAACTCGAAATGGTCATAAGTCGGGACGTTCGTAAGTTGAGGCACCACTGTAATTTTCTACCTGAGCCAAAGCAGGGTGATCGTTACAGTAACATACCACAATTCCAGTGGATATCACTGGCTAGAAACTAGGGATGTGCATTCAGATTCAAATATTTTCATAATTCACCAAATAATGCCATATTTGGATAGTTCTGAATATATCTGAATCCAGATTTGATAGTTCCAAATATCTGTAATAATAATTCCTAACATTCAGAGTCTCATTTATTCCTGTAGATTAGGAAACAAAAGGCTAAGTTTCTCCTTGCTAAAGGGAAAATTTAAACCTATTTCCCAGGCATCGTAGAATGTCCTGGATAGTGTGGGCAGAAGACTCCATTTCTCTTGATTGGGGTTGCCATGGGTTTCCCAAGGGAGGAGGCTCAGGTAGCAGCAAAACCTGTAAATTATGTCTGTCAGCACCAATGAATTCTAGAAGCAGACACAAACACCAATATATATTTTTTCACATTGGTTCTTTCCAATTGAAAGTTGGGCACAGCTGTTTATACATCCCCTGAACATTTGCTGTTAGGACATGATTTGATGAAAGCCTGCATTGCAGCAATTTTCTTTGTGTCCTTTTCTGACCATTCAGTTTGCATTTGCATTCTTACATTCTCTGCATCTCATTGTATATTGTTTATTTAATATAGTTAGGGATAAGATTTAGGATTAATAGATTCATACATTAAATCATTATAAATCAACAGGGAAATATTGTAGGTTTAGGTCCCTTTGGGGCAGCAGACCCCAACCTTTTTGGGCAGCGGACCTGTTGGGGGGAGCAAGCTTCATGTGCAGGAGGGGTGGGGGCACCTCTGCGTTTGCACAGGGGGTGTGCGTGATACACCCACCGCAAGCATGACACACCCACCGCGGGAGTGCGACACGTCCCCCCCTGCCAGCGTGACATGCCCACTGCGGGTGCGCCATGCCCACCACGTGGGCAGGGGGGCGGAGATCCGTACCTGTGGCCCAGTTCCGGCAGGCCCATGGACCGGCACCAGGCCACAGACCGGGGGTTGATGACCCCTGCTTTGGGGTATATCAGGCAGGAGAATAATATTTTGGTACATTTAGACAGATATATTAAATTAATAGATGTGTGTGCGGTTTTCATTGGAAAGATCTGTGTTCTGCTGTAGCAGAATCAGATACTGTTTTTGGGTAGAGTCTGCAGGCAGTATGAAACATAGATGTAGTAAAAGAAGTAAGCACTTGGGGAAGGTTGCAGGAATGTTGCCTGCACCCCCTTCAGCAGCTTCTGCTGAGAGGAGGGAGAGGAAAAGGTCTACAACTGCTATTGCGAGCCACAAAAACAAAATCTGTCACCCAGCTGCCTTGTTTAGCATCGACAGCAGTGTAGCAATACAGGGTATGTATATCTCTGCCAAGGAGGTAGCAGAGAACCCTCTGGTTCAAGGTGGAACAGATATAAGTGAACCTCAGACAGGTTCCAGGGATGTCTTTGTGCAATCCTGCCAGGGAATATGCCTTCCATATTCATACCATGTGGTTCCAACATATTCAAAAAAGGGCTTACCATCTACCTCCGTTCCCAGAAAATCTCTCATTTGCAAAGCAGTACTGTGGTTGGTAGGGAATTCTCCTTCAAGTACAGTATATAAGTGGGAGAGGAGAAGATTGTGGGGAACTCAGGTCGGCACTATTTCAGAAGCATGGGACACTGAAATCACCCCTGCCCCTCCGGCTGCACTTGTTGGAACTAATAGTGATGACAAGTTAGCAATTCCAGTTAGAAGCATGCAGAAAAGGAAAAAAAGGAGCTCCCAAAAAGTCAGTGATCTGGAAGCAATTTCAAAAGTGCAACAGATGCTTGCATGGCTGAGTGTATGCTCGGCAGAAGGTGCTCAAGCATAGGCAGCACTTGGGCCACTTCTCCAATAGTGGCATACTCAGCCACCTGAAGACTCAGGAAAAGCCATTGCTACTGGCAAATGACGTGGGTACTGTGGAGGCAAGTGGCTTCCTTTTTCTGAAGGGTAAGAGATGTTAAGCATCTAGCCCAGGGAAGCAGAGAGATAGATGTACAAATAGCAAACGGTGGGAGGCAGCAAATGACAGCCCTACATCTCAATAATAAGTTACAAGCTATCATGGAAGAGCTTGGAGGGGTGCAGAAAAAGGCCTTCTGCAAATGTAAAAATGCCAGGATTGCTTGTTCCCTAGAGCCATAGGTCTCAACTTTGGGTCCCCAGATGTTCCTGGACTATAACTCCCAGAAATCCTAGCCAGCAGAGCAAGTGATGAAAACGTCAGGGCAGTGCAGCCCAAGTACATCTGGGGACCCCAGTTTGAGAAATGCTGGATTAGGGAAAATTATAGCCATTCTTTCTGGTGGGGAACACTGGTTTTTGTAGATTTATGGTAGAAGTGTGGCAGCCTATTAACATTTGCCATCCCAAGTGACCCTTAGCTGCAGGGTGTTGCCAGGCATAGGGCAACACACAAGGGCAGGATACAAGTGGGCCCTGTTGAACGTGACTGTGGTGGAGGGCAGCTACACAGCTCACAACACTCAAGAGGCTCTAAACGGCACACTGCAGCACTCTACCTGCAGAAAAACAAGGTCTGTCACACAATGGAGCAAAGATGGTGGCAGCAGTGTAGGCTAGGAAGATGAAAGAAGTGCCGTGAATGTCCCACCCTTCCAACCTAGTTGTTTGGGCATATTACAGGCTATGGAAGACACATGCATATCTAATATAATAGGAGTGGGCCAGAAAGGTGGCAGGGCATTTTCACCACAGTGCCTGGGGCAGTGAGTTG